ACAAACTAAATTAATTCAACAAATAGTAATAGGCTCGCCAATGTGTTTGGCAAACGTTTTTTATATGACGTTAAGAATAAAAAACATCACAAAGATAGTAGATAATAATATCACTGTTTCAATAAAATTATCACATATAGGTGGTAAGTCGTGAAGACAAATTTTCTTTTTACAGAATAATAGATTCGAATTATTTATGCTTTGCCTTTGAAAGCGCTTACTGTTCCATACACAAAAGCATTTATGCAAAACATTGTTTACATCGTATAAACATTTGATGGAATCCTCTTTAAAGTTTCAAAATCTTCTGACAACAAACTTTAGGCCCGCTATCTAATATTGACAGTTCAGTAAGTTATTTCATAAAAGCTACGTAACAACAGCCCAGAAGCCCAGCAGGTACGCTTTGTTTTCTTTCATAATTCTTTTGTAATCCTGTGAGCATTTTTCTGACAAGAAAACAAAGCTTTTGAACTAGTAGAGAAATATTCATGTACTTATTTATGATTTTATTGGATATAAGGTGAAACAATCATATTTTTCTTCGTGTTAAGTAGGTCCGCTATATAAACTATTCTCTTTAATATAATTATTATAGAATATTTTTTTTATTGGGAATAATTTTCTACAATCCTTTAGTAAATTAACTTCTCTCTTCATAAATATGAAGATCGTAGATATAATAATTTATTTATATTTATTAAACCAGTATAAAGTTTATTAAGATTTATATCTTTTGAAATTTTAGTGAGTATATATTGTTAAATGTAAATGATGATTAGTCATATATTAAAATAACTATGAACTCTTTCTTACATTCATAATTATGCAAACAGGTGTCTAGTTTATACAAATTATGAATTTGTATGAGTCATTTATTGCGTTTAATTTTTGCGAGTCTATGAAAGCGCCCCATCATTGCAGACGTACCTACTAGCTACCTACTAGCGTTGCAGGTAACCGGAAGTTATTAGAGGGTCGACGACCCCGCCAGACGCCGCCCGCCCAAACAATGTCGATAGTGAATTTTACGAAACCAATTAAAATTTTATTTTACTAAGCAACTACCTTACTTAGCTATTATAAATGACACTGAGAATTACCACCAACCACACTATCATACGAGATAAATTTATTTTATTACTTTAATATTTTATTCATGCCGGCTATATTTCAATTTACGATATTCAGGATAGTAAACCACTAGTTCACGACGCTATTAATTAACTTTATATAAATAGTTATAGTTCGTATTTATGTCCATTATCACAGACAATTTTTTATAAACTTCTTATATTATATTACGTTATGAAATATTTAATATAGCATAAATCGTATTTAACAATAAGTACCGCAGTTCACATCAATGGACAATTTAATGCCTGACAAACTGTTAATTAACCGTTATTAATACTATACAGATACTGAACAAAACCAATAGAAATATAGAATTCTAATATTTTATATTGAACCGATAAATCGATTTATTGAATACATTATGCATTATCACTTCTAAGCCTTCTCTTTTCATTTCATAGTTATCCACGGCTCCGGTCATATTATCTCCTATTCCCTTAGGAACCTCGGTAAATCCTTATAGAATGCTCAATTACGTTGTATGCATAAGGGTAGTCTCAGGTCTTATTCTCATTGCATACTATTTTAGCAACAAAGCTGCATTTTATAATTATTAACTTTCAAGACATATTTTATTACTCTTTCACATCATTTAGAGATCGCACAGAATAATTTAAATATACAATGACATAATATTCGCGAATATATAAATCAATATTAGAGAGGCATCTATATTTTATTGATGGTATAACTAATCATCCAAATAGGTTTAGTTCTTTTTAAGTTGGTTGAAAAGTAAATACCCAAGTTGCAGTAACCAGCCGAAGTTGAGCTTCGCACTAATTGACGACAATCGAGAAGTTTCCATCTAGAACGAACTTTAGTTGGAGTTCCAATTTTAAACTACACTACAGGCAAGCTCAAATCCCAAGTTTAATAATAACAAGTTATGTACGGGTTGCTCGATATAATTTAATTTTGAGTTTTAGCCGCGGAATATAGAGGATGCGGGCGGCAACAATCTTTAAATTGCATAATATGAAAATATCAAAAGAATAATGAAATACATTCACAATTTAAACAAGCGTAATGGAATTAAAGTTTGAATAAAAAAATACAATTTTTAAGAATAAAGGGTGCTAGACTGTTATAGTAACTATGATGCTACAAAACAATTTATACCAAATAGATAAAGTCCTACCAAAAAACATCACCACAACCTTATTTTATTAACTCCAACATAATTAACATCATGAAACTATAACGTAGCTTCAGAATCGATATGAACGATAAAAGAAAGCTCCTAATTCAAGATTTATATACTTTGACATCATATGAAAGGTGCAATGTGTATCTACATAAAGTATAGTTTGGTTAATATATTGTACCACACTTTATTTTATAGGCAATAATTAACACTTTAATTACTACTAAACGCTTTTATCATCTTTATAACTTAATTTATAGAAAAAAGACTTGTACACACGACAATTTTAATCTGGGCTATTACTAATTACTCTGTCAACTAATATCTACTGTAAATGGAGTGTAACATGAGAAACTTCCAATTTCTCTGATTACGCAAATGGACCTAAATGAGGGAATAATTACAAAGCTGCGATTCACATGTGAATTTGGGTCAAACCACGTTTAGTGTCCGCAGCTTTAGGTTAAGGCCTACTTAAATCGACACTGACCTATGACATTAAATGGGCATTTAGAAGGGCACGCATTGGGGCCAACTAGTAGATTTTATAGGCGCTATGGCAGGAAATCAAACAATAGCAAGCTATTAAAACAAAGAGAGGCCTTGATATTAAAAAGAAATTGGTACAAGATGAAAATGTCCGTGACACAATTTTCGTGGTCTAATGCGACCACTAAAATTATGTCGCCGACATTTTCTTAATATCTTAATTAAATCTTAATATCTTGTGAAAGTTTTATAATTTATACTAAAAAACATAAGTCAGAAAAAAAATTATAAACAATATCATAATGATAATAACATACACATATCATCATTGTATTTGTTACTGTAATTTAGTTTCACTTTTTGTACATCAATTTATGGTAAAATGTCGTTAAACTTTTAACGATGCTCTGAAAGTGAGGCATAACTCTGGTGAGGTACAAATGAAAAATAAAAAATGAGGATGATATCAGGAGGAGAATTCGCCAGGAAATTCTTGAAGCCATCATGGGTAATGACTTCTTCCAGAAGAGACTTCGTTTAGCTCACTGTGGTAATCTTTGTACAAAAATTCGTCGAATTGTCTACATTACGGCTGAAATCGGTAGACAGAGGTTATTTTGTAATCTATGTTTCGCTTACAGGGTGAGATAACGTAAAGACATTTTTTTAAAACTGAAATATGAATTCTTCTTTTATTTAAGTACTTATTATTTAAGAATTGGTACTTAAACAAAAGTGACGTAACTGTCAGAAGGCTGACAGTTATGTCTACTAATGTACTTATATTTGATGCTGGAAAATGTCAATTAACATCGCTATCAGAAGCAGACAGATACAAAATGCTATCGCTCCATATTATCATCATGTACTTGAATCCAGAGTATCTAGCCTTGACAGTCTACGAATAGTTCGCATAGGCACCTAATTGTATTATATATATATCGTTTATGGATCAATTCGTATTATGTTATGAAATCAATTCGTACTCTATGTTTCGATTTTATTATCAGAATTATTTGCGACGAGCGAGAGAGGTATTTAGGTCGAATTAATTATTATAGGGGCAAAGAAATTAAAAAAAATAGTTATGATATAGACAATTTTTAAAAAGCTGCTTTTTTTACGTTTTCAATACAATTATTGTAATTGTATCTAGAAAATATATCTTTGCTAATTTTGTACTATTCTACAACAATTTCTACTGATTTTATAAAGATATAATACATTTTTAAAGAATTATAATATAAATCGCGTCTCTATTTAAAAATTGGAAGTGGATAAAAATATTCCTACTGATATACCCACCGGGTAGCATTAATACAGTACGAACATAACGGGGCTTGCAAATGAAAAATTCAGTGCATTTGTAGGCAGTGGTGAATGAGACCGACGCGCAAAGCGAAAAAAAAAATGCAATGCCGGCTGAAAAGCGGTTACATCGCCAAACAAGAAGAAACACTTTTTCATAAAGCGGCGCGTTATTTTTATTTATTATTCGAGTATTTTATTATTAAAAATTTTGTTATATAATATGACGAAATATAAATTCGCATAAAATTACTGTACATATATACTTAAATGTGGGTGTCATAATTATTTTTAAGTCAATCTGCAACTTTCTCTAAGTAAAAGCAATTATATTTTACTTCTGCCAGTAAAACTTACATACAAGTATTAAAAATAAACATATATAAATATTAAGCACAATCAAATATATACTACACATAAATTACAGAAAAATTGTCTATGCTCGGTAGCTAAAGTTTCTTTTCATTTTCATTCTTACATATGAATATTACTTCGAACGTATTAAATTTTTCCAGTCTCATGAATTCGACACCGCACGAGGGAAAATATGACTTCATTTGAATTCACACTTCAAAAATATTTTATATGTTTTATTATCTGCTCTATAGATTTATATATATATAAATATATAAATCTATAAAGATGACGAATACATATATGATAACAAGTAACTTTTTTCATTTATTCATTTATTTCGACAGTTTCAAATAGTTTGATACACAAATAAACATTGCAGCCATAAAAATGCTTTAAAGTCATATAACTTTAGAAATTCAGAAATCTCTGCATTTCTAAAATCGAATGGTAATGTCTGAATGAATGACAGACCCATATTCATTGAGAGCAGCTATTTGAGTCCCAGCTTTTTAAAATTCAACGGCACTTTTATGGTAATTCAGTAAAACTTTACGCTTCTTACCGATCTACCGGCCTCCCAAAATACCTGAAAAAGAGATAAAATTAAATTAGAATATTACACTTATTTAAAATCATTTTTAAAGATTAAACTGGGTATAAAATAGTGCCACTTTATATGATAGATATAACAAAATATCTTAGACACTTATAGATATAGTCACGATGTTGTGCAAAATAATTAGTACTTTGTCATAATGACGTTATAGAATATCTTAAGATTTTAAACCTATTGTGACAAGGTACAATAGCGTTAGTGCAGGCAATTGTAAAGCAACCGACGGTAGTGTCTATAGATTGAGGATTAAGGTAATCCTTCCAATATCAGAGAATATAATCCGCCGCCATCTTACCTATCGATTTGTAAGGAGTTATATGCTTTAATTGATTGAACAATTTCTTATACTCGTAAGACAAAAAATTTTGACAATTCGTTTAAATTAATATTTTCATATACATACATACATTTCTCGAATTAAAGTTGTGAGATAATCGTAAAATATAAAAAGTATTCCCAAATAAAAAACATCACGACGATTTTATTCAGTCTAGAAAGTGCAATAAACTTGTTTGCAATCTTTTGAAGCACAAATAAAGCTAAAACTACACTTATCTCAGCAAAATTTATGCGGGGACATGAATAAATCGAAAAAATAAAGGTGCAAGGGAAGCTTATCTGAAGAGATATTGGTACTATAAAACATCAGACGCGAATACTCGGTTATTCGGTTACAATATAAAGATACGTGAATCCTGGTGTTTATTGTTTGAAGAAAAATGAGAAGTTATTATCAAGTGTATATACGACAAAAATCCTACTTCTTCACATTGCATTACATTTTTATGTCTTTTACACTATGTTAACAATTTCAACATACTTGATTGAAAGTGATAATGTACATATTGTAATTAATGTAAGCCATTTTAAACTACTACCTACACCGCATAATTAGGTAAACAATTCACAACAAAAATAAATTATTCATCTATCTCCATAATTACTTTTGTTGGTATCTATAGTTTCTTACGTTGTCAGCAATATAACAAAGTTAGCATCCAAACAATACAAATCTATACCTATAAATTCTGTTTGATAATTTACTAAGCATTTCGTTTACAATATGACTATTGCGAATCTCTTAAAATGCTAGTAATATTACAGAAATGTAACTAATTATGATACAATCATTATCATTTTAATATCCATGAGTACTTGTACTGTAGTACTATGATATGAGGTAAGCATTTCCTGATAACAAAAAACTATTAATCTATAAGTAGAGACCTCATCCTCTGACTAGTACATTGATGATTACAACGCACTACTATCATTTTAATAATACGTAAGTAAATACTCATACGTATAGTTTTAATGTTAAAATATAACATGCTCGTAGTCTGTGCATTATTTTTCTATTTAAGTATTTCTTACCATAATTAGTAAAACCATTACCACTAACAATTTTAAGTAACGGTACTGTTAAAGTTACTGTTATATTTTAACAGTGCCTACCTATGTATAACTGTTGTCGGGATATGAGGTATTTCTTAGTAATGATAAGCATATGGTCTACGTAATGGTAACAAACTGACAGATAATAAAGTTAATCGGGGTAACACTGACCTTTGTAAATATTGCATACGATATAGGTATGAATAATATAATGAAAATAAGTTTTAAAAAGTTGACAATGGGAAATACTTTCTACCTCTAATTATTATCAACTTGTATTCTAACATTCAATCTAAATTGCAGTTATTAAAATGCAATATAAAAATGTAGATTACATGACTCTAACTATAAAGACTAAGACAACGAAACTATTTTTCTTTCTCCATTACTTTTTGGAAAAAACAAAATGATACACGTAGATACAGCCGTGTTTATGTTTTTTATTCAATTAATTTTAATGAAAAAATTGAAAAATAAATATAAGTACCGAATACAAATAATTTCTCTACAATTTTACAGCAATGTCTAAATTTTCAATAATAGCCATTTTCCTTTGTATAACCAAAAATGAAACGGGGCCGCGATAAAATCAATCATTGGCATAAAAATCCCTCCCCAAGGCAAATCGGAGGTTAATCTCTAAGAAGACGATGATAATGGGACCACCAATTACCATGATAACATCGGTCGATCTTTAATGTTAATGGGGGAGAAAATATGCGTTTCCATTGTTGGAAATACGGTATATTATCTAAATTAAAATGGACTAGTATCATGTTACATTAAAACATCTGAAATCCATATATACATCTATTGTTTTATAAATACGAAATTGTCTGTCTGTCTGTTAATTGCCAAAAATCACGGCCGGCTGAACGAATTTTATTGACATTTGACGTCATATGATTGTATCACGAGGGATTAAAAAGGCTATCTTTTATCTAAAAGAAAGGTGAAGTCGCGGGTAACAGTTAAATTTTAAGAAAATCTGACAAATTGCATTAGACAACCAACTTTGATTTCGTCGATCAGCTTAAAAAAGAAATTCAGGCGATAAATAAAATAATGTTCTAGCTGAAATAGATGTCCTCAAGGCTGTGATAATATATGAATGTTGTCCTACTGGTTAGAAACACCCTGCGGTATTCTTTGTGTTTGAAATATGCCACAGGTAGACTCAAATAGGGCAATGATGTGATACGGATAAAATTTATGGGATAAGATAAATTAAATACACATAAAAGTCACTTTCACAAAAAAGGCCAGTGACAGAGTGAAAGAGAAATTTAATAAATATTGACTTATTAATGCGCGTGGATTCAATGATATATCTAAATGATATATTATTGTTGATAAACAATCATTATGTATGGAGCGATTATAAAACGATATTCATGTACTAAATCCGACTACAATGGTCGGTCGAAGCTGACGTATGACGCAATGTCTGCAATAACTGCTTAGTTAATAATGTAGTTTCTACAAACCCAAGAGCAGTGTAATTTGATGAATTATAATTAAGTTGTACACAATCACCAAGCGTAAAATACTTCTATTAATAATTGTCTTCAAGTTTAGCTTCAAAATTATTATAACAGTTTATTCTTATAGTTGTATACATAAACAAACACAGAATATCCTGTGTGTCTAAAGATTTTAAAAAGTACAAAATTGTTACATTCGTCAAAAAAAAAATATATCTGAACATTTAAAAACTATTTTTTTTATTCTTATGATAAGTTATCCCAAATTGAATACTTGGGATAACTTATCATAAGTTGCCATTCACAAGATATAAAATGATTTAAAAAATACATAGTATCTACAATATAGCTCTAACTATTCCTAAACTATAAGCTATATTACTCGTTGAACAGTGTTAATATGCTCGCAGCTTCCGTAATTTTGTAATCGGTTTCCTTATTGATCAACTGTCCGAACCATATGTCCATGGCTATATTGTACAACCAGCCATAGCAAACGGCCAATATTTATGACGGGAAAATAATTTAACGGTCCATAACCGGCGTGTATTGTAAACAAGTTTTATAACAATGGAGATGTAATCGTATCCAAAACAATTTAATTTTACATGGTTACGATAAAAACTGAATAATTTGTTAAATATAACTGTTACGTTTTATAAACTGTTACGCGAGTTTCTACGGAACTCAAGTTCTTCTTCGGTCACAATTTAAATATTATGTACCATAACGTAACTTAGTGAAAGTATCATAATCTAATTTGCATGTCATTTGAAATGATATCTATTTAAATTTACGATAGCATCATAGTCAGAAAAGGAAATACAAAATATTTCATCATTTTCTCGGAGAATATCATCTGGCAATGGAAAAGTCTTAGAGGATTTAGAAATAAGCCGACTCATATGACCCCACACTCTATTGACCATCAGATAACAATTTTAGTGCCTGTATAAAATCGAATACGGAGGATTGAAAGAAGCCTACAACTTCGTACCTATAATATCGTACGTATGTAAAATTGGTACTCAAATTGGATTCAATATTAGATTGAAAGTATGTAATGGAATATTAAAGTATATTCTCTAATATTAGGGTAGCAACAACGAAGAAGAGTTAGAGTTTTAAAAATAGACGTCACTCGTATAATATAAATACTATTTTTATTCTTTGTTTTCTTAAGTTTTTCACATATGACTCACAACCTAACTCACATGAAATCGTAGATCTATCCACAAAAAATATAATTACAGGTATGTATATTCTATTTAAAAAATAGTCATTATAACAAATTTGTATGAAATGAAAATCATTGTAAACCCTAACGGCGTCAATAAAAACTTCAAAATGATTGAGACCATTATGGTATTGTACCTATTGATTTCAAAAAGTATCATCATAATCTGTTATGCCGTGACGCGCATATAAACTACAATCAACTGAGATTTGATAGCCGATTGATAGACAAGGAAATTTACTAAAATAGCTTAATTAAATAAAGCACAATTAATAATGACTACAAAATTTGCCATTAACACAATATTATTAGTGTATTAATTTGTACAATACAATGTAAAATGTAGTATAAACGGCAAAGTTGGAACATGTCCATGACATGCAATAACATGTAACATTACCAATTAATGTTGAACCATGAAAATTTCTCTCTTAACTAATATAAACTAAAGCTAATATTATGAGGCCACAAATATAGGACTGAGTAAGGAAATGCGGTGCACAGGCACATGCGGGCATTCATTAAGCCAGGAGTTCTAGCAAACTGAGCATTTAGCGTAAAAAGTCCGGCGGGAAATAAACTACAATTTTATTTTTACTTTTTGAACGCATTTGTTACTGCTAGTTAAAATGCTCGTTTAAATATGTAAGCCTTAAATGTTACAAAGCTTATATGTAATAAAAGAAAAAGCAGCTGAAGATAAAATTAACACATTCGTTGGAATAAACTAACAAGAGTATTTTTTTCAGAATTAATATTAATATCATAAAAAGATATAGTAGACGAAATATTGAATAAAAAATATATATCATAAATGATGTATTGCACAAGTTTGGTGAAGTTCATGACTTTAA